AAATTAAGTGAACTGTGACCAACTTGAAACATAAACAGTAACGATCTACAATGCACAATAAAAAAATATTAAAGTGTGTTAATACGTGACGATTAAGCACCATACTGCATAGTACCCCTCTCTAATCATAACATACAAGAAGAGAAGAATAGGAAGAATAGAGTTTATACCAGGGTAAACCAGGTTAAATATCTGCAATTTATTTTAGAATGTGAATATAATGTGCATTACAGCTGTAAACTGATAAAAACTGGCCGATTGTTATTCGGCCGGATTTTGAATTTGGCATTACTGTAATGCTGAAAATCAAATGTCAATAATACCGAATTCAAAAACTTATTGAATTCGACCGAATAATCATCGGTCAATTGTTCCAGAATCTATAAGAACAGTGTAAATTTATAAATGCTTTGTAAAATGAAGCCAAGACAATAAAACTGTAGTCTGAGCTACTGCTTAGAATTAACCATAACTCAAATTATTGATACATATCAAATTTTTAGATCATGTTCCAATAATGATTTGAATTCACATCCACATCAAAATACTGCTCGAAGCGGGACATCAAGCAGATAACGACTTTAATTAAGCTACCCAAGTTCATGAAGATTTACTACATATTTATATTTAGTATGTGAGTATAAAAAATATACTGTATATTTATATTAGCCTTGGTATTTAATTGAGATATCATGTTCATGAATCTTCACATACAAATTGATTCATTCTATTCGCATTTAGTGCATAAGGAATTTATTAATCTAATTATTAACATTTATGAATATTTACTATTTGATTTACTATTTAATTTTATCAATTACATTAATTTGGCACGCTAATCTAAGATAAATAAGCTACTCAACCTCATGAGTGCTACATTTATTTTTGTTAATTAGTTGCTGAGTACGAAAATTATATTTAAGTGTTGCATAAATAAAAATATAATTTAACTAATAATTACGTGGCATAAATCTCCTTGTAGAATTTCTTTAATCCACCGATCACTATATGGGGGAGTGCCAGTAGAAACCAAGCATTTTGTTTCTAAGTAAATTTTTTTTAAACTTTGAGCTAAAATATCTCAACAACTACTAAACCAAATGTGATAAAAAAATTTTTATTTTAATTCTATATAGTTATAGAATTAAAATGAAAAATTTTTTATCAAGTTTGGTTTAATAGTTGTTGAGATATTTTAATTTAAAATTTAAAAAAAAACTCACTAAAAACAAAATGCTTGGTTTCTACTGGCACCCCCCCATATCAAGATCACGGGAGGATAATTATTACTTACCACCCGGTGACCAGTGTTGGAAATCATATGTTCACAATGCTCACAAGAGCATAAATTTTTTAAATAAATCAAAATTTTTTTATTTTATGTTCACATTTGTGAACATAAATAATTGTCGAGGCTGAAGCTTGAAATTAGGGACCTCGATTTAAAAATATTAACCCTACCAAAATCCACTTATACATTTTAATTACCAAAACTAACCCTAAATCCTAAACTAACTATAAAAAAAATGCTAAAAAAATGAACCCTTAAATTTTTTGAAAATTTCATATTAAAGTATTTAAAATTTCAAGCCTCAGCCGTTTCAAGCTTCAGCCGCGACAATAATTTCATTTAATTAATAAAATTTTATTTATGAAAATTATTTTTTTTTAATGTGAACATGATAAAAAACAAAGTATGTTCACAAAAATCATCATACTGTCTTATGAATTTCCAACACTGCCGGTGACCCACCGCGGGTGGCCCAGGTTGGGATTTTTGTAACGGGTCGGAACACTACTTTTAACTATATATCTTTTATATGTAACTTTGCTAGAACATAGCAACATAACGGCGTGGGATTCACAGGGATTCAAAAAATATGTTAAAGTATGGTTCGAATATTCCAAGTTTGCTTAATAGACTTGGCAATGTTTCGTAATAGGATAAGTTACACAAGATTCCTAAAAAAATCAATTGTGTAGCGATCTTCCAAATTTGGAAGGGTCTTGGCGGTTCATAGCACGCGCGAGTATTACAAATCCTTAAAAAGAAAATGTTCCGAACACGTGTAAAAGAAGAATATAGCAAACAATAATCTATCGTTATAGCCTCTAATGTTAATAATTATTTTTACGCATTTAGTTTATTTACAAAATACGGTTTCCATTTTTGGGTTGTTACTCGCGCAAATAAGTAAACTGGTGTTGCATGTGTAAAATTCATGCATTTATATTGTGGACAAAAAAAGTAACAATGGCAATGCTAAACTATAAATAAATCAAGTCTCCTACGTACGTACGTACGTACGTACATATTTCATCATTTCCGTTTTGATAATAGTTACCGACTTCGTACTATTCCTTTATTTGATAATAGTTACCGACTTCGTACTATTTCTTTATTTGATAATAGTTACCAACTTCGTACTATTCCTTTATAAATGTTTAATTTATTCTATTATGGAAATTGAAGGTGGCTTGGTGGTTTAGTGGCTTAGATGCATGAAAATCAAATGCATCATGTAAATGTTGCATGTTATTTACTGATTTCCGTCAATCAGGAATTAACACATATCATTTGTGAATCAAAAAATAATGTATATTATTTCAGCATCGGTGTAAATTCCACCGATTAGTTCAATTAATTAACATTATTCATATTAAATGTAAAAAT